CTTTTATATTCCTTCGGTTAGTTAGGCGCGTGACTGAGAAGTCAGACACTCGCAGTCTCATAGGGCAGCTAGCAGCAGTACAACAGTTGTCAGTGGCAGAGAGCAGAGGGAAAAACGAAGCGCTGTAACACGTATATTAACGTGAACAAGCTAAAACTGTGATATATCCGTCAACGAAGGAGATGCTGAGCGTGCCCGCTGGCGTTTTGCTTCCAGTGCAGAAATCTCCAGAGGCAATTGGCTGAAACGTTTTTCTGTTTTCGAAATGATGATGCTACCTTCGTTGTCAGTACTATCTTTCAGTTGTAGCAGTGAAATAGGCCTTGTGTTGTGAACTCTTTGTTTTAATTAACCCCATAGGAAAAAGCAAAGTGGTTCAAATCTGGTGACCGTGCAGGCCACTCCATTGGACATCCGCCACTGATCCACCGGTGACCGAATATCTCGTGTAGATAATCTCGCACCGTTTGTGTATTAGGGGCATGTGCGCCATCATGTTACCACCAAACGGTTCGGGAAAGCTCGTCATCCTGTGGCTGTGGAAGTGCTGTAGTATGCCTCCGGTCGAATGTTCCGTTTGCTTCCGTGTCGTAATAGACCGAGGGGGTTGAAAGGCAAAATATTACGACGTAGGCGGCTAGACAATCACCTAGCAAGAGCCGTAGCCGGATGGAGGGTGTGCCTCTGTCACACCTCGTGGGGAGCTGGACGGCATTGTCACAACTGCTGCTGGAGGACCGGGTGTAAGTTGAGTTGGATGTATGGGGCGAAAACGAGCACCAGATATTTCTGCTCCATTGATACTGAAGACGAAATGAGAAGGCAAGGATGTGAGGACGGAACAATCGCAAGCTAGGCTACGCTCGCCATCTTATCAGTTGAGTTGCTATAGCAACGCTTCGGCGCGCTATAGCATTTCTTTGTACGACGATGCTAAGAAAGGTATGACATTAAGATATTAAACCAGTAACCTACCAGTCATATTACAAGAAAAGAATAATGGTTCGACAATCTTTCAACCAAACTATTAACTTTGGGACTATGTTGCATACGGGAAGCTCGGCAGCGTCGTGGATTTGATATCGCCCAAAGGTACTGCTTCTCAATTCCGTGCAAATGGAATATTGCCTCATCGGTGAAAAGAATTGAGTGTATATCCATGTTATCCAAGCATCAGCTGCAAAATGCAAACCACTGCTCCGGATCGCATGGGTCCAACACTTGCATTGAAGTGCACCAGACCGACAAAATTTACTTTCTTTCAACATCTGGTGAACTGCGTATCCAGTGGAGTCGCAATTTTGAGCGATGGAGCGGATGCTTAGATCCACCCATTCTGTCACATTGCGAATGACAGTACTAGCTGAACTCTTATCCGTTGTGGTGCGAGTCTGCCACGTATTTGGACGTTTCACACAGTGCCAATGTTTTTGAAGTTCTTCACCAGTTTTAACACGTACCGGCCGTTTAAAGGCCGCATTCCTGAGGTTATGCTGTTGCATCGCCGGGCTGTTTCAGCTGCATTGATGCCGCACACTCATGTAAACGAAACGTAAGCGCACGCTGACCGTTAGCGGCTTGACGTAACTCAGGTTATATAAACTTCACCGTCGTGAGTGTGTCCTCGCGTTCCATCGCAGATACAGTGATCCACTTAAGAAATGAAACTTACCGTGTGCCTAGGCTTATCTGGTAAGTCTAACTAATGCCCAAATAGCGATTTTGGCCTGTCTGTCCACAACCAGGTGCCAAGCTTGCTTATTGCACTTTGTTGACCTATAGGCTACCAGTTAGCAGAGGCCACATCTTGGGCAGAGATAAATTTCTGCCCTAGGTAAACAGGTATGCATTTCGCGGTGCAACACACGGCTCCTATTGGATAGCCTGAGAACTACTGCAAATTATCTGTCTTTCGTAGAGATGCGCGTCGTGTGGTATTAGATTGACATCATACGGCTTTCGGTCCCCATTTGGCTCACTGCGTTACGTTGGGTTTGCGAGCCATTTTATGCTCGCAGGTTATGCTGGATCCATGTATGTGGGACGGCTTGACTCAGAGGTATACAAATGGTTGGTGAACATGTGTTTAGTAGGTTGCGCAGATGTAATATATGGTTATCCGGAATGAGATATCCTTATCTGATATATATTTAGTGCGGTACTTTTGCTTGGTACACTGATAGCTGATGCTCAATTTAGATGGTCTCCTGTGGATGGCCATAAATTTTTCCGGATAACCTTATGACACTAGAGTCATATGTAGGAACTCCACTTTATTTTTAGTGTTTTACTGACACAAAAGCGCGTGGCTCTGTGGAACAATGGTTTCACAAGTCCGCGGTTGTATTCTCTGAAGAAATGCTAACTCTGGCGTTACCATTGGAAAAAATGGATTAGAGAGCTTTGAATTTAATATATTAGAACTTAAGTCGCCAATGGAGTGCACGCTAGACTATTAAGTGTGACCCAGTTAATGTGGATAACTTCAGGGGTACATATATAACTTGGGTTCCCGAAGTATTAAAACAAGCAGACATTGTCCTGTATAGGTTACGTGGAATGTCAGTAGCGTTTGACTATCCACTTCCGTTTAACCACCCATTAACACCATCGTATCATCTATCCGAACAAAACCCAGAGACTGACACTACCGATGTTTCTTCTGCATGTTCGTCCTGGGATGCATTTGCTCTTTATCTAGGCCATAATGAACCACAATCCATATCAAATAGATTGATGTGCGGGTGTGGAGCGTGGAAAGTGAAACGGTGGGGGGGACTTGCTATACGACCAAGCCCTAGAATGCAGTCGACTCATGATCATCTAATGCAGAAATATCTTATGTGTCACGGTATTTTTGTTACCGGGGGGAAGGTGTATAGTGGGAGCACTGTGCAGGATACTAGTGTCAAAATTTGGATCCAATCAGTTGGTACATGGAAAAGCAACTGGAATCAAGGTGAGCGTGGATTGGACGTGAGCTAACCTGAATTGCTTTCCTTGGGCCACTTTGTATTCATCCGCTTGCGGCAAGTAAGGGTTTAAACATTGGCAATCTTGTCGCTCGACTACAAAACAAGGAGTACAAAAGTCCGCACTGGTGCGTTCTGGGTTCATCACGCACCACAGGTCGGCACTGCAGTACAAGCACCAGGAGAAGCCATGCTAGCTTATGCTTTGGGAATTAGCGCTGCCTATTTAATAGTTACATTTGGCAAGCAGGTGTGAGGACTGATAGCCACATTGGTGCAACCAGTGTAGATCTTACAATTTGCTGGTAGCCAGTTTCCAATCTCCGACTAATGATTCACTTGTGTAATCCTGATCTCGACGAAAGTCACAGTGCCTCTGATCCTTATTTTGCAATTTAGGTAAGGAAGCTGGTGCTAACATTCCTTCTTGACTTAACCACGAGTTTTGTATGTTACTGAGTAGATTGGGGATAAAGGTGAAAACAACGCGGAAACGAACTGGTGTTTCCACAATGAAGAGAGTGGGACAGAAACAGGGCAACATGCATCAATTATCAGGATCAGCTGAAGCAACGCAAGACCATATGAAATGAGCTAAGAGGGATCGCGAGGACGAACAGCAACCGGACCTGACCAAGGAGATAAGGGGAATAGCATTGGTCGGAAGGCCAATAAATCGGGCACTCACCGCTTCTGTCTTTGCCTCAAGTTACTCCCCATGGCAGTGTATTGCAATCGTGATCAAACAACGCAAGGTTATTTGAATCAAAATTCAGACAGAGTCAGGATGCGATTTACGGCAGCAGACGTACGAGGTACCAGGTGGGGAAGGTTCCCCAACTTGGGATCGAAGCGGCGTTCGAATATGACGGGTAGCACGATTTGCCAGATGGTTTGGTGGAGTGTAGAAGGAAACAATGACCTAATATGCGTAAGCCTTGCTGAGCCACTTATGAGTCGTCGTGTACAGTTAAGATTATGTTTTCTTACCGCACCGTTCTGGTCAGAATTAACGGTGCGGCACCAATTCTGTTCAGAGTTTATACTTGGTTATCAATGATGTAGGTTAGAAACTTGAAGTAAAAATTATATTAATATTCTGGGATCCGTTCGAGTTAGTCACTTCCGACATTCTTGTTGATCGTGTAGGCCCTTCACCAAACGGCTGGCGGTACCTGAAAGTCTCAAATAACATGGCACCCATCGTACACGGCTCTGATAATTGCAAATGTGTCCCGATACCAAAGGTCCTGTGTGTGTTTCCACGGAAACCCTGTACACAATCCCCCTGCAGCTGGCTGAGGTGCCGGCTACGAGGGGCGGTTCGCGCTACCAATACTACAGTGCGGAACGCGAGAGGGTCGATACAACATTAAAACACTGGTTTGGAATACAATCCACGGGCCTTTTTGTCTTGAGCTGCGAAAGCAAGTACGATCTATTACAGTTGGTTTGATAGGATGCACCCATCAACAGATGGTAACCAGAGATAAAAGGAGCAATAACGGTGAACCTTGGTACCTAGATGGCACTCGTCCTTGCACGCTGAGTTGCTTTGTCAAATTCAAATAGGAAGTGCAGGTCCTCGTTGACTTTAGCTTTATGGAGTGAAAGTAGTCGAATAATCTTTTTCCGCATATGTCTACCGGTATTTTAAATAGAAGCCTCGTATTGCCGCTTGACTTCGTGAAAATCTATAGCTGATTGTAACGTATTGTAGGCTTCTACAGTTGGGCTGCTTGGTCGTCGACTGGTATCAAGCTCTTAGACAATAGAAGTCATCCGTTCGGGCACGGCTGACATGTAGGTGTAATGGCCATTATCAACTGAATCAGTCAGCGCGGCCGTAAACATAGCTGTAATAGGTCCGGTTAGATTCAAGTGATTTTGATCAATGGATTCACAGCCTTCTTCTAATTGGCTTTAATAAAGTTGCAAGGCAATAAACAGCCAGCCACATTTACGCTGAGTTCTGCGGCCTAAATGGTTATAGCGACCTGAAGTACAGTTTGTGCTTTACTTTCACAGGCCTGGGAAATTGTCGTCCGCACATTTGCTTACACAAACCACACCATCCTACCAGAGGCGTTGGAGCGCTGGCCAGTTGACATGTTACATCGTGTATTGCCGCGCCACATGGAGATTATCTTCAAGCTTAACTACGACTTTCTTCAGGTGAGTTTCAGCGTAATTTGAAGATCGTAGCCAAAGCGTAACTAGAGGATCCATTAACCAACTACTGGTGATGCTGTTCCGTCAACACTAGCAGTGATGCTATTCAATTCCTTTGAATTTTATAGGAACAAGTCGATGTACAGCCGTAAATATTCAGTATTTCAATCTACTGCGAGCAGGGGTCACTTTGTTTATTAGCAGTTCAATACAAATCGCCTTATTCGTCGCTTATAGAAACAAAAAAGCTGGTTCTCTAACTTGGTTGCCGCTAGAATTATGTGCAGAGAAGTATTGACAGCTGAGACCTGGAGTTAGTAATTGAAGGGGATTCGTCTCAGCTATACTCGACCAGACAGTTGTTAGGCAATTGCAAATCATTGAACAGTCAAATCGTCTGTTGTGGATGTGCTGCTAATACGCTTTCCATCTGCTTGGTCAATTATTAGAGTCAACATCCGTTTACTTTCCAGCCAATGAGTAAGACTGCAATGCCATGCGTGATGAACGTGAACGCCATAACCTACGTAGAAGCATTGGTCGTGTTTTCTTACGCCGCTGGCTTGCGCGCCATCTGATCTATCTGACGTTCCGTTAGTTCAGATATCTTCGTGGACAAGGGGACACTTGAATCGCAAGGAGAAACTATTCAGTGGGTCGAGGGTACAAAAATGTTGACGTAGTGATGGTTTTCAGCTCTCAAAGAGGCGAATGCAGAGCCCGACTGCCCGTCGGATATATGACGGGATGAGATTCTGACAAATCCACCCTGTCAGCTTTGTACATACTCCGAAGTTGTCTTGAAACTGTAGAATAACTGAGTGCAGACTGAACTCGCCTCAAATTTACTGTGCGAAAAGCACTCGAGGATGCTTCTTCACTTAACTTGAGCTGTCCGAATAACGGACGTACTTCTAAAGCTTCTGTTACTCCTATCTGGACCGGCATAATGTTACTGTTGGTTTGTCACTTTCAAAGAATTTGACACTCATTAAGTATCACGCTTGACCGCGGGCCTTGGTGAGCGATGATAGCATCTGAGATAGAAAATAAACAATCAGTAGCAAGGAGTATAACGGTGTGAGAATTCAGGTGAGGCGATTGTACACACAAGGGAGTAACGTGGCGGATGTAGTAACTGTGCGCATGCAAAATGTAGGTAAGAGGTTACGGATAGAATGTTATTTACGAAACGTTCGGCATGTTAAGTTAATGGCTATTGTGGGAAGAATAAACATGTTTACTCCGTGCTCTACTTTCCTTTTATCTGAGTGACAAATAATTCCATTAAAGGCAGCTCAAACAGAAACTAAATCAAACATTACGTTTTTAGATGCTAAATTGCATGGGAGTACCAGCAATGTCTTTTGATATGTTGAAGTTTGCATTCGGTGATTTTACCATCCCGCTTGCTCATCGATTGTATCTTTTTAAGTTGTGGCACAATAGATGTGGTGATTCTCACTTTCAGTTAACGTGTGGTGATGATAAAAGTTGCTGAGAAAACGGCTGAATTTGTGTGAGGTTTCCGGCGTTGGCCTACTGGAAGAGAAACATCACTCCTTTGGTACTTTAGACGGCTGTGTTATTCACCCAATTTTGTGTCATGGTCGCATTTCGATAAGCGGTGGTAGGCTCATTCGGATCACTCGATATTCGGTAGACAAACATGAGGTCACCACTAGGCCGATGATAACATTCACTGAGTATTCGCAGCTTTGTTACTAGGGGGAAGTTGCTCGAATTATGAGCGTTCTTTGTTCACTGTGTTGTGGGGTCTTTAGCATCACGGATTCACATGGCATTCAAGTTCAAAAAATTTAGAGAGCAGGCGTAAGAATCGCGAATCCCGATGAAGACAAGAGAATCGAAACCTCCAGTTGCGCTCTCTAACAGCCCAACGAGTCAGTAGCCTCAAACTGATCACACCGATGTTTTGTTCCTCGGAACTGCTATGCATTCTGTGTGCCCAGGACTATGAATGTAGGCATGTCTATATTGTATCTAGCCAGTTCTGCACTTAGCTCCTTTTAGTGGCTGGCCATCATGAACCAATAAGTTGGAAGCATAATCTAAGTTGTATTGGAGACCTGTGTACTTCTCCGGTCTTCTGATCACTCGCGATATTCTCATGTGTTTCGAGAACAGCTAGTAATGCTAAACTATGATTCGCACCGGGTTTTTTATGAAAACCAAAAGTGACGAGACCCTTGTACAGATCCTGCAGTACAACAAAATGGTCTTCAATTGGGTCGCCCGTAGACCTCTACACTCCAACCTCTAAGAGACGATTGCGTAGAAAACTACCTGATGGTTGTGACGCTCGATTCGATGATATAAAAAATTAAACAATTTTACAAATTCCAATTAGACGAAGTGTACTCAAGTCACCATCAACTACTACGGTCCAAATACCGAAAGCAATCCGTTATTTATCAAAACAACAACAACAACAACAACAACAACAACAACAACAATCAACAAAAACCCTACATCAACTATTTAATGCTTTGCTGCAATACAGCTATGGTGACCTATGGAATAAAGAATAATAAGAGAGGAAGGGGACTTACCTTAAAACCTTAATGCTCTAAGCAAATATTCAGGTTTAAGGCGTTGCCACCTTGTGTGAACAATATATGGTCACAAACAACTGGTTATCATCCAAAGATAAAACGGCATCTGCGAGACAGCTTCCTTGCGGCTTTCACTGCTCCGCGTCACAATCAGCCATTACGCCGCAGATAACTCAACACCAGACACATGTAAACAGGCAATCCGACAGGGAGACGGCAACAGACGCGCCACCGGTGTCGGTTGTGAGCCATGTCTTGCAAAGTCTAGAGCCAAGCTTAAGGCGATTCACGTGGACTCCAACCTGGAAGGCGAGACGGACCAACGGCAGCCAGTTTGGTCATCAGAGATTTCATTTCCCACTGCCAAGTACACCTTTGTTCAGTTCGAGCCTTGCATTTGGCAGACTAAACAAGGCCATCCCAGGTAAGCGCTGATCAGGCATTCGTAGTACGTGTCCAAGGCAACACAACTTATTCAGTGTTATCTGTTGTTCTAGGGAGCTAGCATGATTAACACTACCTAATACTCGCCTACGCACATCATCGTTGTGGACACGCTGGTGGTATCTGACATGAGCGACGCTTCGCAGATAACGGTGATCAAAGAGTTCAAGCAGCCTCAAATCTTCAGACCGAAAGGGCCAAGTTTCTCTACCATAGATCAAGACGGCCCTCACTGTGGCCTAGTTTACCCGGCATTTTCGACGGAGGGAAACTCCATTCTGTCGCCCAAGTGGTCGTAGGTTCAGGAAGGTAATTCTGGCTTTTGCAATACGTGAACTGACCTCAGTTTCTATGCAACGATAGTTGCTGATGCAGCTGCCAATGTAGGTGAACCGATTCACCACCTCTGGTTCCTCGTTATCACGAGTCGAGGGGTCATCAAGTGGCTGATGGTCCTGCAGCAAGACTTTGCACTTTGAAGTTGCGAAACGAAAACCAAATAATGGGGCCACTCTAGACGGACTATTCAGGGTTGATTGTGTCGCCGCAACATCGTCGAAAAGCAAGACGATATCGTCTGCATAATCAAGATGGATTAATCTTTCACCAGGCAAGACCTCAACGCTTATATCGTAAGATTCCACAAGTAAACACTCATGATAGAGTCCACAATGAAAAGGCACAAAAGGTGGACATAATACAACCTGACGAACCCTATCCGAGAAATCTCCTAAGACCCTGACGCTGCCTATATTTCTCGAGTATAGAGCACGAAGGATGTTCACATGCTTCGTGGGAGCACCTTTTCGCATAAGTATTTCGAGCGGAATGTATCGATCGACTGAATCGAACGTACTCTTGAAATCGAGGAACACCGCTATTGTCGGTCTGCGGTATGCGTGGCGCTGCTCTAACACCTGTCGCAGAGTGAATATATCGTCTATACAGTCATGTCCTGAGCGTAACCCTGCCTAATCTTCCCTAATCCGAGATTCCCGTTCCGCAGTGAGGCGACGAACGAGAATAGAGGCCAGTAATTTTGTCACAACTGCTGTTAGGCTAATACCCCTGTGATTAGAACAGTCCGTGCGATTGCCCTTCTTGTATATTGGCACTATAATCGATTCGATCTAATTAGTCTGGACACTCTTCCTTCCAGCTACGTTCGAATAGTGAGGTTAGTGCTTTGCAGAGGACTCCATTTCCATGCTTAAATAGTGCTGTAGGGAGGGAATCTGGGTCAGCAGCACGAAAACGATTGAGGGCTGTGATCGCGTTTCGGACCTCGGCCTCCGGCGGAGGCTCTAAACTAACGGTTCATGGCTCGTCCTGCATCACCTGAGTAGGAAGAGTTCCGGGAGCAGGGGAACTGATATTGAAAGTGTTCCGCTCAACGAGATACAGCGCTCCTTATTGTGTATCAGTACACACGCGCTGTTTCTACTTGTCTCACTGACACCTGGTTTCTTTGGACCAGTGGTGCGGAACAGCTGGAAGAGCTTGCGGGAACTGCCTACTACTACTGCCTCCTCCATTTCTCGAGCCCGAACGATCCATCGGGTTTCCTTGTCAGCAAATAGACTACGGTTTAGTTCGCCCCTAATAGTCTGTCTGGTCGCATTGTGCTCAGGGCCAGGCGGAAGGTTTCTTCTGGATTCCAACAGGTTCACCGACCTCTCGGATATCCAGTAACTGGTGAGGTGACGATTGTTAGTGCCACAAGCACATTCTCCTGCGTCGTGCATGTCAGCAGAGATCCTATTCCACTGAAGCTCAGTGTCATTAGGACAAAAGAGCGAAAGTTCAGTATGCAGTGCGTCTTGATAGGCTTGTCGAGGGCTGAGACAATTTCTCAATTGCCAATCGGAAGAGACGCTTGGTGCGCCTCCCGGTAAAGTTCATTTAGAGGCGACAGCGTACTAACGCATGATCAGAGTAGACGTAGGTATTCCAGTACGAGCGACAATCTAGGATGGTACTACA